CCCCTCCCTGCCTGCTGCTGACCCTGCATCTCTTTGGAGATGACTTTTCAGTAACACTCCTCCATAACTGCAACACTGTTTGGAGATGAATTAAGTCCCAGTTCATTACTTTGTTCTTAACCTGAGTGAAGAGGCTTATTTGGAAGATATGAGACAGAAAAAAACCCAACCAATCAAATAAACGAACTGGTCTACTTGATCAAAGTAAATTGTTGAGGTCAGGTACAGAGTTTGTAATTTATTCACTATGTGACCAAATATCTGACCTAAGCTTTCAGGCGTCATATGCATTGAATGAAGACCTGGTGATGTAGTAGAGGCATTTGTGACCTCAAGGCTCAGTTATAAGATTAGCTTTTTATTAGGCTGGTGCACATCCACTTGTCAGGTCATAGCAACTGGGCTGTAAATCCAAGTAAAGTCCCTGCAAGGAGTAAAGTCCCTGCAAGGAGTATATAAAAAGCTCTTCTGCTGGTGTTAATTTAAAACTCTTCCTCTAAAGATACTTTGCTTAAAGTCCCTGCAAGGAGTATATAAAAAACTCTTCTGCTGGTGTTAATTTAAAACTCTTCTTCTAAAGATACTTTGCTTAACCGCATGTAACTAATCAAATTGATTTCTAGACTGATTTAAAGCATCTTCTCTGTAGACAAGTCATAGTATGATAGAATAATGTAGATACAGTTATTTCATGATATTTATACAATTAATTATATTTCAAACCCTGGAAATCAAAACATTTGTTATCTTTACCTGTCTAAGCATTGCTTTAAATGCCATGAATCGAAGCCTCATTGTGAGGATTTCTCCAGCCTTGCCAAAAGTGAAACCCTATTTGAGAAAAAGTACAATGTTTAGCACACTATTACATTGCTTGTGTTGATTCAAAAAATATTTTAGATACACTATCTCAACAATGTCAAAGTGCAGAATATTGCAGTCCTGATTGCACAAAGCAAATGTAAAAAAAGGTTTAATATTTACAAATTCTAGTAGGTTCATAGTACAGACATTCAAATATTATTTCTCAAAAAAAAAAAGAAAGCACAGCAATATTTCGCAGCACTACTTCACCAGCATGTTTCAAGGAAAAGATCACTAATGGACCTTTAATTTAAATTTTTATCTGAATTGACCTAAGTTAGTTTTAAACAAGTGGCTTTCAGGCCATTCATTTTAGATTAAAGACTTCATAAGGCAATCTGGGTTCACTGAAGTCAAACACAAGTTTCCCATGACTGCAATGGAATTAAGGTTTCTTTCCTGGGATCCTAATACAGCCTGACATAGATATCAACTGTAATACATAAGTGATGTTCTTTAATGAATTGAATTTATTTCTAGCCAGATATCAATTTAACAAGATACAAAAAAGAATATGCTGGTTAAAATTTTTCTGAAGATACACTCTTTTTGCATTTTAGTACGACAACAGTGTTTATAACTAGCAGATTGAGTTGGTTTGAGATGGACATGTATTAAGAAGCTATGAATTTTTAGTATATTTCAGATTTGTTTTCCGAAACATGATGAACAATTATAGTAAAGCTAAAATAACAAAACATACCTGGAAAAAAAAAGTAAAAAAGGAAATGATCCCAAGTACTAAAAACAGCACTGAGTATAAGTCGCCCTTTTCTCTTAAGAATTCCTTGTCAGTTTCTGAAAAGATCTGTAAAATAATATTTAAACAACATTTTAAAAAAATTGATTAATATTCTAAAATACTTCTATCTTTCTCAATAACTATGTTTGGTAGTCATTTGCATTCATACAAAATTTGAGCATATGTAATATACAATTACAGATATAACAAGAAAATTTCAGGTTGTGGAATGATTTTTAGGATTTTGTAAACTGTGTATAATTCTTTAGATTTTGGTAAAAGTGTTTCATACAGTTCTCAGCTTCATTATGCAGTCATTGTTTAAGATCTGGTTTTATTAGAAATAAATTTTGTAGGCTTTACAGGTTTTTTTAATATTTTATTCAAACTTACCCCTATAATTTCTGAAAATATGATTGAAAATGCAGGTTGTAAAACTCCATTGACCACGGCACAGAAAATTCCGGCTACAAAGTATGGCCATTCAGTTTTGTTTAACTTCATAATTTTCAGAAATGAAGCTGGAGGTAATCCTTCATCCTAAAAAACAGAATTCTGTTAGCTCATATTTGGAGAAATATGGAGGAAAAGAGAGATTAACAGTCAATTTCCTACTTCTAGAATCTCCTGAGAGGAAGGCAAAATGTATACTTCTTAATCACATGAATAGTTAACTGATTGTACATTCCTTTTTTTATTATCTTACTACAAAGATGAAAAAGCTTTTAGAATATATTTAAAGCTCTTGTCATCAGATTTTAGTTTTTCTATATAATGTTTTTATTGATCAGTTCTCTTGGTATTGGTCAATGATGACCGATCTATTTATTCTGGGCATACCGCCAAATGTCGTTCAGTTCAAAACTTTTTGGAAATAAAGAAATACAAGTTGAAGGTAACTTTGAATCCAGTTACTATTAAATACCACAGTGGTGGTATTATTCAAGTAATTGTTCATTAAGCATTTCATAACACCAACATATTGCCTGCAAATAAGAATGCAAGCGTATTTGTTGTATGGATTTTTGGTAAGGTTTGTTTTGAGACTTGTATGGTGAGCCAAACGTTCCGTTTCTGATAAAAATTAATGTTTGTCAGGTATAGACTATGTTGGTATGGTATGAAAACACATGTAAGTATATTTCTTTTATAGTAAATCAATTTTCAAGAATAAACTCATCCTTGTTACAGATTTTTAATCAATTTTCAAGAATAAACTCATCCTTGTTACAGATTTTTAATCGATTTTTCAATAATAAACTCATCCTTGTTACAGATTTTTTTAAGTCCTATTTTATTTGGATAATCATTCATGGTGAGAATAACAAACCAGTTATTAATATTATCAAAGACTATTTAGAATCAGAAAATTCTCATGCTTTTTTTTTTACCTTATCGAATGCTTCCTTTCTAGAGCAGGAGAATGAATTTCATTTTAACATACTCTGTTGAAAAGAATCAAAGTTCACTAGCAGCTCTGAAAAGATACTTACAGGTGAACTCTTTTTCTCGTCAGGATCATCATTCTCGGTTTCCGGCTTTTTCATGCTTCTCCGAGTCGAGCGTCTTCTCAATCCTTTTGTAAAGGATTCTTCAATTTCTGTTTCAGATCCACCTTTTTTGACATCAAGTGCATTCTCATTTTTTTCTGACGATGGAACTTCAGTGTCTATTGCCTAAAAGAGGGACGAACATGATGCTAAGATTAATTATGCATATATTACTTTGAAAATTATGAGATGATTTCTTCATACAGTAGAAGTAATTTGTTTTGGTGGAAAGAGATATGTTATAATGCAGATTGGGAAATTGTAATATATTTTAGTAGATTTCTATCTTCAGAGCTTGATTCAAATATAAAAGTAGCCCACCTCTAATGAAAATGCCTATACTAAGTGGAGGGTGGGGGAGTGGAAGCAACTGTTCTTTTTTAATGAATTAACTCCTAAGAGAGTTTTAAATTGAGTGTAAAACATTTGCACTCATCTTGAGATTTTTTTGAATGAGTTCTCAGTGTTTATACATGGAGTGCAGAACACTCATAACAGTCCTTGGCTTTAAATGTAATAAGGAAGTTCAAGATGGAACAGGTAAAAAAGATATTTTGACTGAACAATTTGAACAGCCTGAAAAAGAGATCCACTTTTGGCGGTAGTTTTGGCAGTCCCTTGGAGAGAATAAATAAAAGTCTACTCACAACTGTCTTATTTAATAGTAACTGGATTCAAAGTTGCCTTCAACTTGTGGGGTTTTTTTCAGAAATTTTACATTTTTACTGCTTTTTTCTGTTAATAAAAATACATTTTTTGCTTTCTTTCAATTTTTTGTTATTTTATGTTATTTTTATTATCTTTCTGTTTCATATTTCATAGAGTTTTCCATTAGCACATTTGCTTGAATACAAGGTTACTCTGAATCTAAGGTGACCAAATGCATTCTCATAATTATCTTATGGAGAAATATTTTAGTTGGCCTAGTTTACTCTTTTCGGTCTGACATACTGAGATACTTTAATGGGCAAAGTGGTTATATAGTAAATGACCAGTGACATAGAAGGCTGCAGGGAAGCCCTGATATAATCTATCACATGGGACCTGAGGAAGTATCAAAGTATTTTGTCCAAATACTTGATAACTAATACATTTCTGATAATTATATTATATTCCGTTCTCTTTATTTCTGTCTACATAGCTTTAAAAGCACCCATAACTTCCATTCAGCATTGCTGGATTATTTTTATTTTTCTTCCATTCCTCCACTTTGTTTTTTTTCTGTAGAAAGAAATTCAGTATGAAGTATTATAACTAAACAGTGTTAAATATGTGTGCTCTATTCCTCCAGTATCTGTTAATGTATTTTGCCTTTTATCATTAGTTAAGAACCAGCAATGTAATAGCAAACTACTCTAGACAGCTGCTCTACACTAACTGCACAAAAAGAAGTCTTAAAATAATCTTTTAAGCTTAAACCCCTGGAGTATTAAAAACGTACTATCCTGGGTTTAAATAAGTCAGGTATCAAAACTAGTGGTCTTGTCTCTCAAATCTCCTTTCAAAGTGCTTTTTTTTTTTGCGCTTAACGAAACATGCTGCAGAATTCCCCATACTTCTGATAGCAGAAAGGAAAATGAGGCAATAGCTAGTGAGAAAAAAGTACCTGCATGTTCACGAGTTTGTAGTAGATTCCCTTTGTCTCAAGCAGTTCGGAATGATTCCCTTGTTCTGTGATAACTCCACCTTCGAACACAGCTATAAGATCCGCATTTCGGACTGTTGACAGTCGATGAGCTACTACAACCGTGGTGCGTCCTTCCCTTGCCTAGAAATTACAATATTTAAATTGATAATTTTTAAGTATGTTAAAAAATTGTTCATATTAAAGTTCTCAATTTCTAGCAGCTCTTTCAACAAAGGTCTGGAAAAAAAAGTAAATATTAAGCTTCTGTTTACCTGCTTAATTTAAGAGCACTACTGACCTTGTCCAGTGCTGCCTGCACAACTGATTCACTCTCAGTATCCAGGGCTGACGTTGCCTCATCAAGCAGAAGAATTTTAGGAT